GCCCTCTGAGTGTTGGTCTGAACTAGAGTCCTTTGCAGCGTCACCTCGGGGAAACTCGAGGTTTGGTTTTAGTTGTACGGAGTGCTCATCCGGTGTGCCCTGAGAACGAGATGCGTGCGACTCCTATCAGGATTTGTCGGCACATCGGGCGGCTTTGCTAGTCTTGTTTTACCATTGTCGAAATGTCTTGTAATCGGGAGTCCGAATCTGATCGGGTCTTCCCGCTAGAAGGAATATCCTTCGTTGACTGTGAGAGCTTGTGATGGGCTAAGTTGGGACACCCCTGCAGGGTTTGAACTTTCGAAAGCCGTGCCCCTGGTTATGGGCAGATGGGAATTTGTTAATATCCGGTTGTAGAGAACTTGACACTTAACTTAACTAAAATACATCAACCGCGTGTGTAGTCGTGATGGTCTATTTTCGGTGGAGTCCAGGAAGCGAACACGGTTCTTGTGTTATGGTTGTGCGTAAGTAGATTCAGGATCACTTCTTGATCACTTCTAGTTCACGACTGTTGCGTTGCTTCTCTTCTCGCTCTTATTTGTGTATGTTAGCCACCATATATGCTTAGTGCTTGCTGCAGCTCCACCTCATAAACCCTTTCCTACCAATAAGCTTAAATAGTCTTGATCTCGCGGGTGTGAGATTGCTGAGTCCTCGTGACTCACAGATACTTCCAAACAGATGCAGGTGCCGATGATACCAGTGCAGGTGACACAACCGAGCTCAAGTGGGAGCCCGATGAAGATCTTGATCATAGTCTTGTTTCATTTCCAGTTGATCAGTAGTGGAGCCCAGTCGGGGCGATCGGGGATCTAGCATTAGGGGTTGTCTTTATTTATGTTGGTTCCGTAGTCGGACCTTGATTGTATTCTGGATGATGTAATGCTTTATTTATGTATTGTGTGAAGTGGCGATTGTAAGCCAACTCTTTATCCCTTTCTTATTTAGTACATGGGATGTGTAAAGATTACCCCTCTTGCGACATGCCTACTATGCGGTTATGCCTCTAAGTCGTGCTCTGACACGTAGGAGATATAGCCGCATCGTGGGTGTTACAGGAGAACAACGGCGAGGACAAGGAAGATCTAGCTGAGGATAAACCTTCTGAAATACAGTACAAGCGCCCACGTCAACGGCGCCGCTCTAAGTCACACCGTAGAAAAGACAACATTGCCGGCACAGGAGAAGACAACACTCCAGAAGGTGCCGAAGACAACGAAGACCCCGTTGTTACAACTAATGAACAAGACGAACGAGAAGGCGGGCAGGTTAGCCCCGGTAAACAGGCCACGCATGAAGATTCGGAGGACGATAATTACCTTCCGCTCTTCGAGGACGAGGTGAGCCTCGGCACCGAGGATTTCATCATGCCCGGGGAACCTCTTGAGCAGGAGCGCTTCAAGCGCCAGCTAATTGCCACTTCACGGAGCCTGAAAAAGAGGCAGCAGCAGCTTCAAGCTAACCAAGATCTACTAAATGATAAATGGACCGATGTCCTAGCAACCGAAGAGTACGGCCTCAAGCGCCCAACCAAAAGCTACCCAAAGCATAAATTGCTACCTCAGTTCGACGAGGAGGCGCCGGAATACATACCTCCATTATACAAAGCGGCTGACCGACCACCACGTCGTCGGGACAAAACGACAACTCACACCGAACACCAACCAGCCCCGCCTCATCGCACAGGTAGAGGTAAATTATCCCACGGCCATACATATGACCTCTGGCAAATCCTGAACAATAAAGCAGGATATACTAGATCAATCTACGGATCATGAGGACATGCCTCGACACGTGATGACGGCCACCTATTCGGACGTGACAAATTTAGACATGCGCGGGATGAAAACTGCAGGCGGACTCCATCAGAGCTACGTCGCAATACGGCCCGATATAGAGGCGCCGCACACCCTCATTGCTTCACCGATGAGGTCCTGGATCATGAATTACCAGAAGGGTTCAAACCCGTTAATATAGAATCATACGATGGAACCACGGACCCCGCGGTGTGGATCGAAGACTTCATTCTCCACATTCATATGGCCCGTGGCGATGACCTCCATGCCATCAAATACCTCCCTTTAAAACTCAAGGGGCCAGCTCGGCACTGGCTCAACAGTCTACCTGCAAATTCTATTGGCAGCTGGGAGAACTTGGAAGAGGCCTTCCTCGATAACTTCCAAGGTACGTATGTTTGACCTCCAGACGCTGATGACTTAAGCTATATAGTTCAACAGCCCAGAGAGTCCACCACAAAATTTTGGACAATGTTCTTAACTAAAAAGAACCAAATCGTCGATTGTCCGGACGCCGAAGCTCTAGCAGCCTTCAAACATAGCATCCGTGATGAATAGCTCGCTCGCCACCTCGGCCAAGAAAAGCCAAAATCCATGGCATCCCTCACAGCACTCATGACACGCTTTTGTGCGGGCAAGGACAGTTGGTTGGCCCGTAGCAAAAACAATGCAAGCGACGCCGGCACCCTTGAAGCTAAAACTAGCAAAGACAAGTCTCGACGCAACAGATACAAACATCAAAACAACAGCGATAACACCGAGGACACGGCAGT